ACAGTCAAACAACAGTTTAACAATAAAGGTAATGAAACAGCACTTAATTCTTTTATCGGGACCAGAAAATTTTTCTTTTTGGTCCATGTACATCTCTAATAATGGTCCTTGTTGAAGAATTATAAATAGAGAAGGAAGTCATGATCTTCTCATTTACAAATAATATGTTTGCAAAAGATTAAATTGATTTGTTTTATTTACGTCAATCCTCAACGAGAGAAGGGTGGATGTGGGTGTGGGTCATTTCTGAAAGTACACTCACACCCGCTTCTTAATTTCTTCTAGTCAAATTATTCTCTTTTTTGGTACATGTCATCAAAAAAAGGACGTTTTTTTTTGCAATGTATCTTTCATAAGTCACCTATAGTATGAGATAGAGGGCTGAAATTTTGTTTGGAAGTGGAACACTTAGGGACTACTACCCTGTAAAAAAATTGTCCAAATCGGCTGTAGAGAAAACAGGTTATTCAAAAAATACAACTAAAATTCAATCGTACCAAAAAGTTGCAATTCACTTATATGTATATATATACATATATATGTTATGGTCTAAATTAGAATCCATCCGGACGATATTGTAATCATTTTTCAATGAGTAAAAAAAGGTAAAGAAAGACATAACTGCAGTATCAGTAACAGTTTTATTTTACGAATCTTTAAAAATAAATATTATCTAAACCCAAAATAAAACTAATTCATGTTTGAACATGCGTCTCTTTGAATAGCATCTGATTGAGTAGAATATTTTTTCTTTGTATATGGACAAGTCCTATTTGCATATTAATCACGATTATAATATGTCTGTTCAGTTGTCGAACTAAGAAAATAAGTCTTTAACACTTCAATAAGAGTTATGATTTTTCAATTATCATAATGTATCTGTTTCAGTTTAGTGAGAAAAGCGTCTTTTAAACTCAAAAGTGTCAAACTTCAAATGCATATACCTGAAAACCATAGTGACATAGAAATAACTAGATATTAAAAAACCATTATCTTTTTCAGGTCTTTTTTCAATAATATAATTATTGAGATTGTAATTTTTTTCATTAATTGGAAAATAGTTTCACTTTCGTCTAGTTCAAAGTTGAATTCTAATTTCATCTTAGTAAACGTAGGGCGAAATTAGAATATGATTAAAGACAAATTCACATAATCAAAACAATTAAAACTGAATTTGAAGAGTTTATTTTTTATTCAACTAGTTTTTCATTGAACAAAATAATTTTCAAGATGCAATGCTATAATCTATTCAAACATATTTATAAAAACACTTTGTTTTGATTGTCATTGTCAATATGTTTTAATTTTGTCTTTTAGATTATTTTATTCGATGAAAAAATAATTGAAAAAGAAAATTTTCTATTTATTTTCAATTATTTTCATTTTGTCAATTTATTTCTAATCATATTTTTATTTTGCATAAACAAATTTTAAATTTTTCTATGATATCTATTATGAATGAATTTCAACATTTTGGTATGATTGCTGTAAAAAATTGATATTAGATCTAAATTATGTCTGAACAGTACTTTTTATTACATTCTATATCTCTATTACATGGCAAAAGTTTCCTAACATATTTTCTGAGATTGTATATAGTTAAAACAATTCTTGTAAATATCTCAAGAACAATATGAAATAGATCGCTGAATTTTTCAGTACTCATAGAACTAAATTTTCAATGAAAATTTAAGCGAAAACAATCAAACTGTCCAAGAGTTATTTATAATATAATTTTTGAAAAGTCATTCTACTTAGTGAGTAGAACTGAACTTTTTAGAAAACAATCGATTTTTTTTCATCCAAACAAAAGGAACTCATTTCGAAGAATTTTTTTTTTATCATTCAGTTGTGTTTCTTCACTTTTCTTTCACTTTAATATAGACGATAAGGTCATTCTACACAAAAAATAACAAAGTATTTTAATCAAGTAATTGAGATGAATGATTATGAAAAGAAAAGAAAAAAGTATATGAAAGATATACCATTTAACAGAGTATTTCAAGTTTTACAATACTGACTATTCACCATAGTTTTTCTCTTTTATCTTATACTAGCGGAGGTACCCGGCGTTGCCCGGGAAATTTGATAGTACATCCTTCACACAGTAGAAGGTTTAAAAAAATCTATCTGTACTGAAAAACAGTTTTATCACTAATCCGGCACTACTGTGAGTCAGGAAAAAGAATTGATGCGTCATCGTTATGAGTCAAGAAAAAGAACGAATATGCCATTATTGTGAGCTAGAAAAAAAGACTCATATGCACGTTTTTTCCTTATGGTACATAGATAGACACAATCACACGCACAGACTCTCTAGAAAAAGCATTTATTGTAGTAATTCAACAAAAGGAGGGGGCAAACACCCCCCCCCCCCTCAGGTGAAAGTTTTGGGTCGAAAACCACCCTATGACCTCCCCCTGGGCAAAAGGGTATTTCCTGCAAAATTTCATTGCATTTGCTCATACCGTGTCCAAGTGAATAGCGAACAGACAAACAGACAAACAGACAAACATTCTTCTTTATATATATAGATATAGAAAATATCTTTTTCTTAATACATATTACTGTAAATTAGGAATTTTTTAACAATAAAGGTCTGATAACTCAGTAGATGGATGAGCTAGAGTACTGAAATTTTCTATGACAGTGGGACAATCAAAGATTAATAACATATTAAAGTTTCACTCGTAGGAAAAAGTTACAATCCACTGATATATATATATATATGATATCTATCTTCATCAATGTATCAAATGGATTTCAGAATAACAAAAGAAATTTATGTAATTACGTCATATTTATCGAAAAAAATTGTTTATTGAATAATAAAATAAGTCAATAATATTAGACTGATGAATAAATAGTTAAGGATGAAAATTTTGGGTGTGCATGAATCTTCTCTCTGGTAACATGCACATCCATATTGTAGGCGTTCATCTATTTGTTGATGGTACATGAATCAATATTTTATCTATTCAATGGTCAATTATGATCTTCGACAAATGGATATCGACGTTATTTGTTCGATTTTGATATGATTTGAAAAAATATTTGAACAAATTTTGACTTAATTAAAATTTTCAAAAATTCTTTTGTAATCGAGGATTAAAATAAAAGTCAATCTATTAAATAATTAAATAGTTTCAATTTTCATCCGCAAAAATGTAATGATAGCTTCTTATTTAATTCATCATCAGAAAGCGTGTTGAAAACAATACAAATCTTTTCCATATATTATTCTGATATTTTTAATGATTCTATTTTCTTTTACCATATGAGTTCAAATTTTTACTGGCATTTATTTAATAACTTTATGATATTTTTGGGTACTCATTTATTCAAGAAAATCAGTCAATGAATTAGATTATTGATGACATCTAATTTTCAACATGTTAAACATTGTAAACAAAGCATATGTGTATAGCTTCAGTTCTTTTCTTTTTTGTTGATCGAATAAATTCAGAAAATCATGCTGCAAAATTATTCAATGCTTACTGTTTGCAATGGAGAATTTCATAGAATAACTTCTTAGAATTAGCATTAAAAAACTGTTAAAATGATGATAAAATCTACAAATATTAAATAATCGATATATAGAATACTTTTCATTTTGAAAAATTGATTTTTTCAATTTAAAATATTAACAAAAAAAAATGTTAAACATTGATCAAATAGAACAAACTAATGTTATTAACTCTTTTTACCATAATGAAATGTTCAGTTATAAAATGTTTCAATTATTTTCTATAAACGAGAAAAACATTCAAGCTTTTGATCTACTTTTAACCTATAGTTTTTATCTATTAGTGCTTGTTGGTGACATGTAGCGCATTGATATATTGTTTGCGTTGAGTGATATTTCCTTCCCAGACATCAACACTTTATGAAGAACAACAAAACAAGACTTCTCATATCTATTATGTTTAATATATAAGTACATTTTAAAAAAATTGTTCGAAAGCAACTATTTTATTCTTTATAATTGAGCCCCATTCTTGTTATACATATCTAATAAAATATCAATAAAAGATGAAAATTGTTTAAAAAATTCTCAAATAATTTTTACAGAAAATAATTACTTAAAGTAAAACATTGTCTTCTATTGTATATATTTATTGAAAAAATGTCATCAATCATAACATTCTAGTTGACAAGACAGATAAATTAAAGTATCTTTCAAGCATTCTATAATTACATATGACATTATGTCAATCAATCAATATACGGACTGTAGAATACAATATTGTATTTTAAACTACAAGTCCAAAGTCAATCAGAAAATAGAATTCGTAGGCGTCAAACCACAAATAAAAAAGAAAAAAATGTCACAGAGAAAGGGACCACTCTTTATCTTTACAGTATTTTTCGAACCAATAGTATCTAATATATATGATATCTACGCATTACAGAAAAAATCTCTCATTTTGATCATTGAGTATAAATATCTGGTTACACATATACAGTTAATATATTATTCAACTACTATATACAACATCCTGATGCTTCAATTAACATTAGCATATTCAGATAACTATACTTATATATTCTCCTTAAAGAATGATAATATATTTTAGAGTATGATTGAACAAAATCAATTGATCATGGTAAAAAAAAACAAAGCTATAGATTTAATAAATAAGTATTTTGATTAACGAGGAGAAATTTTCGTTCTGTTCGATTAAATTAAATATCTTCTTTATATATAATCAGTCGATAAGGTAAATAATTTTCTAACTAACTAATTGTTTTCTAGTTTGAAAAATTTTCATTGCACAGTCAACTATATGAAATATTTTTGAAAAAAAAAAACAATATAATTATTGATTTTAGATACTAATAGGTGATAATATATAAATATCTCGAAAATGTTTACTCTTGAACAATTTCTTCAAAATACAACATGGAATCCAACATTAGAAGATGCTGGTGAATCAGGTAAAAAGATTCTTCATATGCGTCTTCAAGTTAAACCTGGAACAACTCTTGATAATTTAAAGATTACACGTAATGGGCATGATTTTCGTGTTGATTTTGAAAATAAAGGTATATTTTATTTATTATTTT